CCGGGTTCTCACCGGACCAGGCTCTCACATCACCAAGCGCGAAGCGCCGTGAGATATTCGGCGAGTCGCATGAAGGGTGCGCTGTCCTGCTAAGGGTTTTCGGCATCTTGTGCTTACTTCCTTGCGTACTGATGACAGCTGCGTATGACTTAAGCTCAAAGGGGGGGGGGTTCGAGATGCCCAGCGACTCCGTGACTACTGTATGCATATGTGCCTACACTGCAGAGCTGCTGGCGTCGTTTGCCTCGACCGTAAAAGTCCAAGTACCTTCGAGACCCAGTTCAGATCTTCCGAAAATATCTCTAAGCTCGAAGATGCTGGTATCGCATCACTGCGATTCGTCCGCAACACGGCCAGCGGAGACTCGCGGCGATCCAGATCATCCCCAGTGAAAACAGTTGTTGACGTGTCTGCGGAGCGCAGGTGACAGCCAGTAGCCAGTACCACAGATATCGCCCTGAGAGCAGCAGTGACAACAGACGGGTGCCAAGCCCTCCATCGCATAATCATCCTGGGCCGCGTCACACTACGCCACTGCTGTTGTACGTGTAGTGCACAGCAGGGTATTTAACAAGCTGTGTTCTTGCTTTTTATTGTCTACCCGTCATGAACGACGTTTGACGGGCTCCAATGTCGCAAGGTATTCTGGCGCACGATACACCCTTCTGGGCTACTACTGGTTGTGGCTCAAGCCTCTGCAGTAGCACCATAATGTGCCGTGGGGAGAGTCATGTGCACCGGGAAGATGCTCGAGGGAGCTGCTGTGCTTAGGGCCGTGCGTGTATCCAGGGGGCTCCGCCGAATGCAACATATGCGGGCTAAATGAACATTTTCTTGCCAGAAATGGGGAATAGCAGCGGCGGGTATTAAAAGGCCACCCAAAGGCCACTTTTTTTTAAAGTGGGGTATCTCGCCACAGAATCCACGGAGCCCCTTGGTTCTTTTTTTGAATTGCTCCGCGAAACCGTAGCTCTCGTTTGAGCACCACAGCGTGGCACGCCGAGCATTCCACCCCGAGATACAGCCGAGGAAGCCCCCACCGCTCCCGCTACTAGCCACCTTAGTCGTTTCCTTGGGATTTTTGCTAAGCATGACCCGGCGCAAGGTGGACGAGGAGCAGGTTCGGAAGGCCTGTGCAGCGATAGATGATGGAATGTCGGTTAGGAAGGCTGCTGGGGTCTTTGGGGTAGGTCGTACGTCCATCGAAGACCGCCGCCGTGGCAAGGTGGCCATGAACGCGAAGGTTGGTGCCGAGACCATCCTGAGCAAAGAAGAGGAGGATTCGCTGGAAGATATTCTGCTGTTTGCTGCTCGCAACTTCTTGGCTGTGGGTCGGGTTCACCTCAGAGATGCGGTGCGACGACTCTGCAACGACGGTCGGCGGATCCCTTGGGATCCAGAGAAGGGTCCGGGGAAAGATTGGCTTGCGGGCTTCCGTCGTAGGCACCCACGGGTCGCGGAGCGCTCGACCCGCATCTACGAGGCAAACAGGATCACCGAAGACGAGGAGCCTCGCATGGTGCAGTTCTACGAGAGATGGGCAGCTCTCCTCGACGAGTTCAAACCGGAGGCCAACCACGTGCACAACACGGACGAGACAGGTGAAGATCCGTTCGTAGACGAGTCTAGGTCTAGACTCGTCTAGACTAGTGTAGATAGCCTACAGCAGTAGT